TTAATTTCTTAAGCCCATTTCTCCATCCCTTCTGTCCCCTGTGTGCTATTTACATATAACATCTTGGGGTGATTGAGGGTATAAAAGACGAATGGTTCTGAAATATGCCTTAGCAGATACTTGCTCACAGATGTGTGGACCAAGACAGCTACAGAATTTCAAGTTGTGGGTAAAATAGTAGGCAGCAGAAAGATCAAAATTCTACTTTGTTGTTTTATATCTGAAAGTAAATCCATAAAGTTACTTCTTGTTGCAAAGGAAAGAATCACTAACTTTTCTCAGTCTAGCCATTGCACAGAGAATTTATTTATTTACTTTTAGATTGTGAGTTCATCTTCTTTAAAAATGATTTTTTTTCTGTTTGAGGCAAGTAAAAGAAAAACTTTCGTGAGTTTAAAGAAGAGATTGATTAAATTTAATGCCCTAGACACTAAGGACTATTTTACTTATCCTGGTGATTAGACTCTAAGATTTCATTATGGGAATGGGAATCTCTTTTTTAAAACGAACAAACAAAAAACAAAAAACCTGTTCTACAAACCACACCACAAAGATATTTTTAAAAATAATTCTTTATTGCAAACTCCATCTGGCATTGAAAGTAAATTTTGTTTTGTCACCAAGTGAAGGTAGGCTTTTTTAATTTGAGATTTTCCAAGTACTGGTAAAATATTGTTTTTAATAATTCAAAAATGTGAAATCCACAAGTCTCAGACTTTGTTTTAAGACTTTGCTTACCCTCACTGTCTAGGACCATGCCTTACAAATTGTAGATACTCAATTGATATTTATTAAGTGAATAAAGGAAGCCCTCTAGACTTGTAAAATATCAAAGCAATGGAGAAGGGACCATGTTGCATCTGGAGACAGAGAGTTTTCAAGCACAATAATCTTGCTCTGAATAAGGGATTTTGACCCTTCTTATATGTTAGAATCACCAGAGGGCCTTTAAAAAACAACCACAAACAAACTGATGTCAAGATGCCTCCATGAGCTATGAAATCTCAATCTTCTGTTGGCCACTCTTGAGCTAAAATTATGTTCAAGTCAGAGGTCAGCCTTTCCTCATACTAGGCACTCTTGAGATTGAATCCCAGGCACATCCCACTCCAAATGGCCATGTCTGGCGTGTGTTGGTCCCACCAAGTCAGAATCATCCTGGATATTTTTTATTTATTAGCTTGAGACAGTCAAGGAATCCTTGAAAAATGGAAATGGAGAACAGCAGTTGGTGGAGAGAGCACACCACTCCTTTAGGCGTGTTGTGAGCTGAACTAGTTTAAAATCACAGGTAAAGATAACCCTACATGTGGAGTGTGTTAGAAACCGCCACTTTCATTCAATGCTTCCTGCATGTTAGGATATTTAAAGGAGGGAAGAAAAATTATATCACTAGATTTTTTTTCTGCTCTTAAAGTTTTGAATATTTGATTCTTTTCTATGAATATTCTCCAGGAACATCTAACATTGTTATCTGACTTCCATTCTACCTCTGTATGTATCTCTTTTGCCTTCTTATTCCCCAAAGCCTCTGATTTTAGAACAGTTTGCAGAAATAGCTGGTGAATAATATGCTTATTATCATGTAGGTGCTCACCTGTGTTTTGTATGCAAGGAGGTATCTGTTCCATGGGGCACATGAGTTTGCCCTGATGATGACCTGGAAAGGGTCTGCATGTGTATTTCTGCTGCCTTCTCTGGCAACAGCATGGGGAGCTCTTCTGTAGGGGGCATCCGAGGTTCCATGATTAACAAGGTCCATCCTACTGCATTTTCAGCACTGCTCCATATTGCTTAGCATGCCACTGGAAAGGAATCCTAGCTGTATTTCTCTTCAAATTTCTCTTCCCCTTTAATTATTGCTTCCTTCTTGTGACATTCTGCTGTTCTGTTCCACAAACCATTGCAAAACAACCCATACAAGAATTTTTGCCTCCTCCCTGGCTAGGGTAGAAGGCTCTTTGGAAACCACAAAGCCACATCTCCAGGGAACAGTAGCTTTATTAATATAATAATCACCATCACCATGGCCTGGATACAATACACACATTGCTTTAAAAAGAAAAATAAGGACAATCTGGGGTTTGCTGGAGAAGCTGTACTTGAGGTTAGATGTGTATAGTTAAATTTGGAGTCAAGCTGAGGTCATTGCTAAGGAGATTTGGAATTGGAAATCCATGTGGAAAATGGTCACCCCATGGAAGCTATCCTCTCACCATTAAAACTCACTTTGAATAATATCAGTTAGGCAAAATACAAGGGTTTGATTCCATAACAGACGTGAGCTCTTCTTGGTGTCCTGGTTTATTTGGAAAAGGTTTATTTATTTCCAACCATCCTCTCTTTCTCAAAGAAATCTAAGTAAACATGGAATAAAGTTTTATTGGGAGGAAGCATACCATGTATGTCCTGTGAGATTTTCATTCTAAGTAACATATAGGGAATGAGTTGTACAATACCAAATTATTTAGACTTTGTTCCTTCTAAATAAGCTGAGTGTATTTAATGAAAGATTTTCTCCAATTGAAATGGAATAAGAAGAAAATAGTGAAAGATGCTTTAATTTCTTATTCGGTTGTCTCTTGGATATAGAGGAGGAAGAAGAAGAAATAAAGTGTGACGAACACACAAACATGGCATCATCTTTTTTAAGTAACCACGTCAGCTCGGATGGAAATAACTGGTGACAAAGGATCCCAACTAAGTGTGCTGGAGCCTCCAGGAAAGAGAGACTGCTGACATGGCAGCTGTTTGTTTCCAACTGATTTTAGGCCTAGATAACTATCCCTTTCAGTTTAAATGATGCTCTGCAGTCATTGACCAGTGCCCAGTTAGGTTGGAGCACAGTTCTTTTGGAACCGGTTCAGACCAACTTGGACTGCCTGTGAGAGCTGGGCCAAGATCAGACTTGTTTCCTGGAGCCTGAGGTATAGTACAGGCTGTAGTTAAAGGGACAGAGTTCTCTGAGTGTCTAGTAGGATGTATCATTGCATCTGTTTAAAGAATAATTAATAACAAATGAGTGAGAGCTACATGGTAATCTTCAGACTGAGGCAGAGTGTACACCAACATCATTTCCAATAACCTGTAAATTCAACAGGTTATTTTTCTTTTCTGTTTTAAGAATAACTTGTACTTATCCCCCTCCCCTCCAACCCCAGTGTTGCTTTTGAACTACTTTCAATATGTTGCCTTTTTAGGGTCCCAGTTGCTCCTTTTAATGTGAAAGTTGCTTTAATTGATGAAAAATGCTATTTTTCAAAATGCTCAATTCTCTGTAGCAGCACTGCTTACTGGCAGTGCTTATTGATGAAGGCTATGGAATCTGAAGGATGTGAACAGATGAATTAAGCCTAGTATGGTTAGATGAGGGCCACCATCTGCTTAAGGGTTGGCCAAACACCTGGATAATTTAGGCTAAAAACCAGCCATTTCTTCATTCTGAATATATACCAGAAATCACTGCTTTTTGGATTTGGCCTCAATCAACAGCAAGAACTGATTTCCCTGGTGATGCTGAACAAATATTTAAGAGAGTAAGTAAGAGCTGAAACTGATTCTCCAGCTTTAGTGGGCCAGTGCATAAAATGATCCAGGTTTTCTGAATCCACACGAGCTACCAGATGGGTTGTTTAGCATAAGCAGTGCAATCTTTGTTTCTTTAGCTGCTGTCTGCAAATATTGGTATTTAAGGGTGGCTTTAAAGTGACCAAAGAAAGTTTGTGAAATTCAAGAGGCTGTCTTTTTCCTTTCCCAAAAAATAATTGTGTTTAGTATATAAGCCCAGGAGATAATTGCATGCTGACTTCTTGTTCTCCAGTGGAGTCTTTTTTTCTCTGCTGTTGAGCAGAACTGAAATAGTTAGCATGTAGAAAAAACACATGGAATATTAAACTAAAATATGTCTGTCTAGGGATTCATTTAGTTCCCTCCAATAGCTCCTTTCTTTGTGAATGCCAGCATGTTTATATATATTTAAATGCCCCATTTGCTACACTGGTTTTAGCTTCTTGTTAGCATCACTTCTTGTTAGTATGATGTTCTACAGCACAAGGCAGCTGAAGAAGTGAAACATGTGTTGAAGAATTTATGCAGTGTCCTTAGATTCTTTCATTAAGAGAACCAAGAATAATAGGTGTATATTATAAGTTTGCTGTGTTAAGCAATATGTTATTGCTATGCTTGACAGACATTTTGTTTACATTCGTGTTATATATTGGGGAAACCATCACATTTTAAGAACATGGCATTTTTTAGAGTATTATTTATACTGTGCCTCGTATGCATGGGAAACGTAGTCATCTAAAAACATGATATGTTTTAAATCCACTTGTCTCCTCCTCCTAATGAAATATTCTAAGTGCATTCTCATCGAAGTAGGGAGTTCAACGTGTTCTTTATTCAGGCCATTCTAATTACTGCCAGCCACATGCCCTCAATTTATTAAAACAATGGCCCATCTTATTTCAGTTTAGCTTAATTCACGTGTGAAAACTTAACCCCCATCTTATTCCATGGAGGACAGTATGAAAGCTATCTTTCTAGTTGGTTCAATGTTTTTGTTTTTAGAAAAGCACTGGCTGTTTCCAGGCTGACCTGGAACTTCATTAATTTAGTTGAACCCGGTGCAATTGTTAATGGGCATGAGATAGCCTAGTGGTGCAGCCGCATCTGGCATGTACAATATTACAGTACTCCATGGCCAAATCTTGGTAGCAAATATTTTTTGCTATCTTTAACCCCACTAAGGAGAAATGTGAAGTGTGAGGCAATTTAATATAATTAGTGTTTTAGTAGTAAGTACTGTATATTGAACTTGGAAAAGAAGAACATATTTACCTTTTCCTACTTTTTACACCTTTTGCACACTGAGATCAAACTCTACTTCTCCAAAGTGCTTTGTGCCATTTCACCCAAATGTTTCCAACTTGTGTAGGGAAGTGTTCAGTTGAACAGCATGGCATCTTGTATTTTCTGAAGCATCCTTTTCTACCTCCAACAAGGCTAGTCGCAGCTAGTTGTAGCTGGACAGTAATCCATGCCAAAGATTGGAACCCAGAAGAAGTAAATGTGAAGAAAATATATGGAACTGGAATAAAAGATAGACCCGGCCGGGTGCGGTGGCTCACACCTATAATCCCAGCACTTTGGGAGGCCAAGACGGGTGGATCATGAGGTCAAGAGATCGAGACCATCCTGGTCAACATGGTGAAACCCCGTCTCTACTAAAAATACAAAAATTAGCTGGGCATGGTGGCACATGCCTGTAGTCCCAGCTACTGGGGAGGCTGAGGCAGGAGAATTGCCTGAACCCAGGAGACAGAGGTTGCGGTGAGCCGAGATCGTGCCATTGCACTCCAGCCTGGGTAACAAGAGCGAAACTCTGTCTCAAAAAAAAAAAAAAAAAAAAAAAAAAAAAAAAAAGAAAGACCCACAAACAAAGAAGCAGAGAGGAGACTTAATGTTTGAAATGTTTCAACCTGTGGGAAAACCAAGTGCCTTGTGAATATTCCGCAAAGAACAGAAACGATATAATATCATTTTATTACCATCACAATTCATAGTTTATTAAATGCTTCCATTTTCCATGCCTTGCTAAGTGCTTTGGATCCCTTATTAAAATGTATCCTTATGACAACTCTCTGGGGCAAGTTCAATCATTCCTCTTTGATAGGTGAAAAAACTAAGGTTTACAGAGGTTGTAGCGCTCTGCGAGGGTACAACCAATAATTATTAGAAGCAGAATTTGAATCTCTATTTGTTTGACTACAAAGAATAAGAATGTGCATCATGGTAGGTGTACTTAGTTGAATGCTAGAAAGTAGTGGATGCTGCTGTGGGAGAACTTGGCTTACAGCAGAAAGTGACTCCCAAAGAGAGCCTCGAGACAGGTGGGTGGAGAAGAGCAGCAGTGTCCTGAGAATGCGTTCACAGCTTGGCAACACTTTATGGCCAGATCAAAAGATTCCTAAGCCAGGCGTGGTGGCGCACGCCTGTAGTCCCAGCTAGTTGGGAGGCTAAGGCGGAAGAATCGCTTGAACCCAGGAGGCAGAGGTTGCTGTGAGTTGAGATCGGGACACTGCACTCGTCTAGCCTGGGTGACAGAGTGAGACTACATCTAAAAAAGAAAAGATTTCTAGTCCAGTTTTGTCTTATTTTTCTGGAGGCATAGATACTAGGTAGCTGGTAAAGTGGGCTTGGTTAGACCTTTATTTTAGGGTGTATGGAGAGGTTTAGACTGCCCTAAATCTGGCAACTGTGTTATGGCACGAGGTCATCAACATCACAGAATTTAAATGACATTACTTCCAGAGTACTGTTAAAAAGGACCTGGACCGTAGACAGACCCCAGGTTCTTGATCCTGTTTCCTCTTTCTCACATCATCTGTGGAGGATAGAGGCAGCTGACTTTCAGAGAAACTGCTTGGATAGACTGCAGGACAGAAGGAGAATACACTCTAGTAAGCCTTAAGTGATGTGCTTTGCCTACCTAATTCTGTGAAAGAGAAGTGACAGATACTCAGCATTGAGAAATTGATCAGATTATTTATAACAAAATGGGAAGAGACTGGAGACTAGGAGATGAAGAGACACATTTTCAGTCAATGACAGATGCAAGACATCATAGAACAATCTTTTAGGATTTGCATATTGATTAGTACTGGGGACATTTTACATATATATGTAAAATACATATGTAAATATACATATGTGTGTATGTCTATATATACACACATATACACACAAATACACATACACATATACACACAAATATATATACAGACATCCCAATAGCATGCTTTTTGAAAATAGCAGAAGGGAATGTGATCTTGAATTCTTGGAGAACCTTTTCCTTGAAATCCATAATCCCTGAAAATAATTTTCATCAGTTAAAGTGTATGTTCTAAAAACTTTTAGCTCCTTTGGACTATCTGACTCCCAATTGAATCTTTCCTCTCTGACTCATTGCCATGTTATTTCCATATTGGTTTTCCTAACATTATTTTTGTTAGGAAATAACAAAATGTTCAGAGTGTCAGGATGTTGAAGTCACCTGTGCAAAAAGTCAAAATACCTTATCATTGAAATCAATACTTTTCACAAGCTAGTTTCAGCCTACATTTCAGGTTTATTTCTACAGTTTCCCTGTATAAGTTCTCTAGTTCAAGCAAAAGGGTCAATTTATTGTTTCTGACCCTTGCTTAAAGTGTTATTTTCACCTGTAATGCCTCCAGTATTTTCTTTACCTGTTGGAATGCCAGTTGGAAGCCAGATTGATGGCCTGCAATTATAAACTGTAGCAGGCAACAGACAAAGTGCAGTTTGGCTTGGAAAGTAATTGAGGTCATAAATAGCAGTAGTTTCAGAGTGGATGAACTAAAGAGGTTCACGTGTTACATGTGCAGAAACACTAAGGCAAGCCTTGGTCCACTGGGTCAGAGAGATTGGAATAGAATCAGTCAGTACCCTGGATAGCTCCCAGGAATACAAAACTGAGTGCTGACAAGGTTCTATACTTTGAGTTGTACACCTACTCAACTGCAGACTCATATTATCTGCACTCTTTTTTCTTAAAAAGGCCACTGTCATTTTCCCCTAAGCTTAGCAACTATAGATGCCGAGACTCATGCTAATATTGCCCTTCTTCTTTCCTGACCTATGCCTCACACTCACGTGGGGTCCCTGATTATGCCAAAGAATTTATCTTCCATTTTATTGCATGAGAGGTTCTCTAGGGATTTTGTCTTTCTTGGGGCAGAGATAGAGACTGGACTTCTGCTAACTCTCCATTGAGTCTTGGCTTTTTTTTTTTTTTTCTTTCCTATATGGCATTTCATTATCCTGTCAACACTGTGAGCAGGTTAAAATTTTGCCCATTTTTCAAGATTAAGCCCCACCCACCTTTGCTTTGATCTTTCCACTAACCAGTCCAATGTAAAAGTAGCTCTCTCTAATCTTAACTAGAACACTTTGTAGTGTTTATAGTCATTAATTTCAGTATTAATGATATTCTGTTTTGTATACACTATCTTTTTATCTCTCTGTGTTATCAGCTTTCCAATTGGTTTGGATGCTTTTTGGGGGCATGCTTCTTAGCAACAGGGCTTCCCAATGGTAAGGACCCACTGAAGATGCACTGCAGATTATTGCATGAACTATATTTTTTCTGGGAAAGACAGAACAGTTTTCTGATAGGCATAGTAGCCCTTTTAAATTATGTGTAAAATATATTTCTTGAAGTTGCTATTATTTCTGGAAGCCTTCTCCTTGTTGTGGTGTAATGAATATAGCATGGACTGTTGTGAGCCAGAGAGACCTGAGTTTGCATTCTTATTTCACCACTTATAACTGTGACTTTGGGCAAGTTACTTCATCCCCTTGAGTCATGGTTTCTGCATCTGTAAATGTGAAAACAGAATTTACTGTATATGGTATTTTAAAGATTAAATACCATATACAGTATATTGAGATATTGTATGTAAAGGGTCTTGATCACTTGAGTGATCAAGTCATGGTTTCTGCATCTGTAAGTGTGAAAACAGAATTTACTGTATATGGTATTTTAAAGATTAAATACCATATACAGTATATTGAGATATTGTATGTAAAGGGTCTTGATCACTTGACACAGAATGAGAGGCTTGATTCATATTGATACCTTTTACTTTTTAAACATCTGTGGCTCTTGTTTTTTAATAAAACTTTTCTGAGGGTCTTAAAAACACCACCTTTACCTGTTTTCCACCCGTGTGCTCACTGAGTCCTTGATCTTGGTGAAGGACTTATCTTTCACTCCCATTTATTCCTAGAATTAGGCTTTTTCTTTGATACAAGGTTGAGACTTAGTTGCTATATTCATCATTCAAAAAAACGGACCTTTAAGCTTTCTGCTGTATTTATTGGAGTGGGAGAATTTTTGTGGAAATCAGGGTGAAGTACATTTGCTCTTGTTTTTTTTATTTATAGAAAGCCTCATTATCAAGCAGCCTGAAAGAGTGCAGTCTATGAGACTCCAAGAAAATTAAATGCTTGTGACAAACAGAGTCCTCAGGACACACAGTGGGCAGCCCAGTCTTCATTGCTTGCAAGTGGCTGATTCTCAGATACTGCAAGAGAAAAGTCTTAGAATAAATCTGAATATTTATGAAAGAAAACCAAAGCATTTTAGCTGGGCTTCCATCTCTTTAAACAATACCAGTCACAGAAATGTGGTTTCATAGTCATTTAAAATACAGTTTACAGAGGAATTAAGCTAAACCACTTAAGCTCTCCAAGCAGCTGTGCTTTCTCAGCTTCCTTACTGAGATTTGCTTGCAGAACATCCGCTTTGAAATCAGCAGCTCAGTCAAAGACAGAGTTGTTGATCTCTGAGCTACTTGCTTTTTCTTGTCCCACACTTCTCAGGTAATACAAAACAGTGGAAAAATATTGGGACATGAGCACATATCCTTGCCCCATGTTTTCATGTTTGAAGCAGCCTTACTCTCATGAGTTTCAGTGAGTACCTGAAAATGAGTTGAGGTCACACAGTGCATGCTTTCGTAAGCCATCATATAATTGCCAGAATGACCCTGTACATTTTGGGGGAAACGTTAGGGCTTCTGTCTTCCAGGAGAATAATCTGGCACTCAAAGCTGTGCACAGTATGCCTAACCTCCTCTCACTTGCACAAGGGAGCCCTTGGCCTCAGCCAGTTTAGTTTCCGCATTCTTCTCTAAGGTCAAATCACATTCCTGTCCCTGCATTCTTGCTCTTCCCTACTCTTCCAGTGACATTCCCTCTACTGTTTAGCCCCAACGCCACCCATTCCGCTACTGAAAGCCCAAGACTCATCTCCGCAAATAGTTCCTACAGCCCCTTCAGTGCAGGTTCCCGTCCTCATTCTCTGCCTTACAGCACGACTGTATCGGTTCGCGTGGTCCTTGTTTTCAAGCAGACCATAGGGCAGTCTACTTGAGAGAAAGTGTGTCTCAATCAACTTTTTTTTTTTTTTGGTCTCAGAAAATGTTTCATATATATGAACTCAGTGAATAATGTTTTAACAGGTTATCAGATGGAAAAGTAGAAAAGCATTGTCAAATTGAGCTCAATTTTTTGAAAAAAAATGAATAGTAAGAAATAAATGGAATGAAAACAATACTTGGAAATTATGTAAGTGAATTCAACTAAATGTGACAGACGGAAATTGAAATTGTTAAGTTTTATTTACTTTTTATAACTAACATATTTTAATGAATAAAAAATAGTGTTTAGGTGTTGGAAAATTTAGTTACGCAGTCTATGGGTATCTTATTTAAGGAACAAAATCACAAAATGCTCTTTTAATGTTAAACAACCGTGCGAGAAGATGGAGACTACCCATGGAAGGAAACTGCTCTTAATAGAGTTTAACAAAAATGTGTGTATCATATACTTATTTTCATAAAACAATTTAAAAAATTTATAGAACTGTATCATGGAGCTCTCTAGCTTCGCAAATCAGCTGTTTTCCCACATTTCATTCTACAAGCAAGCATTTGGCACCTGAATAGCGATCTATAGATTTAACATCTATTGTGCTATACCCATAAATATCAAAGATTGAAGAAACACTGGTAGGCACTAATGATGAGACCATTAAAAGAGTTTTGAGGAAAATAATGTAGGCTTTCATATCAGAAAACAATGATGTTCCTCATGATGTTCCTTCAAAAGGGAGTAATACACCAAATGGTTAAATATTGCTGGTTGAACAACTCTTCAACTCTCTGATTTCCTGAGCAATTTTCTAATCTGTAGGATTTAGCATTCAGTCATCTGGCCTCTCTGAGTGAGGCAAAGGGTGGGGGCTCATCCATAGCCAGATGCAGGAGAGCCACCTTGATTGCTCACAAGCAACCCAAGAATCTAGGACTCCCCATAATTGTGCCCAGTGGTTGGTTTAGAAAGAGTCTGTGGGCTTAGATACATGGAGAGCAGAGCGCTCGGCAGGGCATCCCCAGAGGAGCAGCACTGGAAACTTGGCATCGTTGCATTATCATATCCAGAGTTGTAGTAAAACGTACCTTGTTAAATATGATCTTGACCTCTAAAAAAGCAAAAGAATCCTTTTAAGACAAAACATAAACTGCATTACAAGACAGGGAGTAGGGTTGATGGGAGGACTATGGGACGGCAGTGGGGGGAAATTAAAGAGTTGGGCATAACTCTCCCAGACAGTGTCTGAAGAAAAAAGACTGGGTTTGTTCCTGGAACAGACAAAAAAGGGAGGATGTGAAGACTGATGAAATACCAAAGAGACATTTGGGATAAAGACAATTCTAAATGAAAGGGAAAGAATAGCAGGACAAAAGTTCATGCGGAGGAGGAGAAGGGCTCAGTAATGAGACAGCAAAAAGAAAAAGAAAACCCCGCTGAAAACTCTGCAGAAACTTAGAAACTTGGAGGGCGAGGGCGGGGTTAGGGGATGGAAAATACAACTTGGATATTTTTAGAGCTGTAGCAGCAATGAGGATGTTTTCTAACCACATCTTTGGCTGTGAGAACCTTGTTGTTGCAAATTACATGTAAAACAAAGACATGTGCAGATTCCATTTATCTGTTCATTTTATAAACCTGTGTTTATTGGTCATCTTTTATGTGACTACATTGTGCTAGAGCTAGGGTTGCAGAGGGTATGGCTTGGGCATGCCCACACTCTCTGCTGTCCTGGAATGTGAAGGAATTTGATCCTGGACCATGAAAGAAAAGAGGAAGGAGGAAGAGAAGAACCTGGAAGAACGAAGGAGGGTGATAATATAAATTTATTAATATTATAAAATATAAGTAAATTACATCACCCCCTTGCTTAAAACCCTTCCGTGGTTTCTGGTTGCCTTTTTTTTTTTTTTTTAAAAAAAATTTGTTTTTTTTTAATTTTTTTTATGTACCGAAAACTCAGCAGTATACATTCAACCCAGTTTGGTGTGCCAAGTTCTTTAGCCTTTGCCTTTTTGAGCTTGGGAATGTGAGCCGCAGACTTGGGACCCAGGATCTGGTTGCTCTTGAAATCAATCCAAACTCCTTTCTAGGTGCTTTGAGACCTGCATTACTTGGTCTGAGCCTTGTTCTCCCTCTGTTTCATCTCTCTTTCTCTCTTGGGGTTGTGCTTGATTCAAGTGCACTTTGGAGGTAGACGCCACGTCAGGAGATGGGTTGCAGGGCTGGCCCAACTGTTAGGCCTCTGCAAGAAACTCCCTGCCTCTTTTTCTTGTGTCATCCCCACCGTGTCACCCAGGTAAGGATGAAGGCTTTGCTCTTGCTTTGTTTGACCTATCAGAATTGGAGGACTCGGAATTCTTCTTTCTCCTTTCATTTCCACGCCATATTGAGTCCATCCTAAGGCCTGTGAATTCTTTCTTCATATGTCTTGGTTCCCATCCCTTTCGTGTCACTCCCAGAGCTAAAACCTTAGCTATTATTACATCACACCTGAAATAATACAGCTTCCTAAATGCTACCCCATCTGTTCCTCCTCACACCCAGATTAACTGGCATTCAGGACTTCTGTGTCCAGGAGCCAGAGGTTTTGTATTTTCTTTTATATTATCTGACAGTCCTAGCCCTTCATCCATGCACGTATAATCCATGTAAAGTGGACACTTATCCCTGGAAGTGGTAAGCCTTGAACTGGGCTCTGAGGCATGGATCAAGATTCAGAGAGGCTGAAGGGTAGGATAAGGCCTCATGGACATTAGCGAGGGTTTTGAGGCAGGTGTGCTGGGTCCAGTATAGCAGAGTAGAGAATTCCCATAAAAGAGTAATAGGTAACCAGCTTGCATTGGGCTTTGGATGCCTTGTCAAGGCATTAGAAGAATCGGAATCAGTATAAGAATCATGGACATTTATAGGTTACAGACTGGGTTCAAGTCCTATTGCTGTCACTAATTAGCTACTTTAACTTTGAAATTACCCAGATTTCTCACCTATTAAAGAGAGACAATAGCACCCTCTCACAGGGTTGTTTTGAAAATGAAATCAGATCATACATACAGGTAGCTCACAGCTGTTCATGACTAGCATGTAATAGAGGTTGGCCATCATGATATTGGCCACCATCACCTTTATAATCATGACATTTGTCATGATCATTATTTTTTGGATAGTGGTGAAGATTAAAGTTTTGGAATCTTTTAAAAACAAGAGGTAAGAGGGATAATATGGTAAAAGCTATGCTTTGAAGGGGTGGCTTTTTTAGGAGGTTAGCTTGAAAGATATCTGAAGAGGCATTCTCACTCAAGCGTGGGGATAGCTGGGTTAGTCTGCCAACAGCTATGATGATGTTTCCAGACATAGTATAAAAAATAGGCCAACAAGGCTTGATAATCCCACAGTTGTCAAAAATTAAAACAGAGAAGGAGTCTTGAAGCCAAAGAAACTTCACAGTTTTGGGGGTTCAAACGTGTGGGTGACCAAAGCGAATTGATCTGAAGCCAGGTGGTAAGCCATGATGGCGAGGAGAAGTCCAGAGGAGGAGGGCATTCAGAGTCTGAGAATGAGGCAGATTAGTGGAGTGGGACTAGTGGAGAGACCCCACAGAGGTGACACTGAGGTAGTGCTGGTATGTACTTATCTGCTTCAGTTAAGGGTCAAAAAAGGCCGACCAGAGGTAAGAAGAAGGAAAGCAAGGAGGGAAGGAATGATACCAAACACTCCTCCTCAGAAAAGGCTGATTGGAAATGGGCCCATGAAGGACACAGAGGCCCAAGGTTACATTTAGGAAATAGTTGAACCACTAGGAAACAGGAAACAACATACTCTAAGGCAGTGATTCTCAAATTTGAGCTTGCGTCCGAATCACCTGGTGGCGTGTTCAAACCAGATTGCAGGGCCTCATCTTTTGACCTTCTGGTTCAGCAGGTCTGAAGTCAGGTCTGTGAGCTGCATGTGTGGTGAGTTCCCAGGTCGGCACCTGCTGCTGCTGGTCTAAGGATCTCATCTTGAGAACCACTACTTTAAAGGGAGCTTTCCTACCAATAAAATAAATTAGAAAATATATATATAGCTAGTGTTTTGTCACTACAACTAGGTGTAACTAGTTACAGATTATCTGTAAGAAGACTTCAGTGATTATACAGGATGCCCTCATCTGTAGGATGAATACCCAAGCATCCAAATTTGTGAACATGTAATCCAAACTGTTTAAGGCTGCTTGTTCAACACTCACTCACTTGAACTTTTTTTTTTTTTTTTTTTGAGACGGAGTCTTGCCATCAGCCCAGGCTGGAGTACAGTGGCGCAATCTCAGCTCACTGCAACCTCCACCTCCCGGGTTCAAGAGATCCTCCTGCCTCAGCCTCCCAAGTAGTTGGGATTACAGGCATGTGCTACCATGCCCAGCTTATTTTCGTATTATTAGTAGAGAGGGGGTTTCAACATGTTGACCAGGCTGGTCTCAAACTCCTGACCTCAGGTGATCTGCCTGCTTTGGCCTCCCTAAGTGCTGGGATTACAGGCATGAGCCACCACGCCCGGCCCACTTGAACATCTTGATGCTAAGAAAGGAGAGGACAGGCAGTTCTGGAGTGAAGGAATTTCTCTGGCTTGTTCTGTTCTCCGTGGCTGAAGGACGTTTGCCTTTGATGACATTTAATCCCTCCTGCTTAGGGTGTGCAGTGCATGTGGCTCAGGTTGAAGAGCTGGTCCTTTCCACTCCTTCATTTTCAAGGACATAGAGTGAATAACTAATAGTGAGAAATCCTGTTCTGATCATGTGCAGGTTTTTCTGCCAGAAGAATGTCCACTGAGGTACAAGGAACTGTCCTAGCCATACATGCAGGCTTGTCCCTCTTTGACGAACATGTCGGCAGCTTTGGAGGCAGGAAGGAGGAGATTCAGTCTGTGTATGCATTGTCTAGAGTCTCATTAGCACCAGCCCTGGTCAAGGACTAACAACCCACAGCCTTTGTCCTTCCTCTGCCTTTGTCTGAATCAGCTTCTAAACAGTGGGAGGACCGCCACAAAGGCAGGAGATTGGTGGGCTACAGACCAAGTTGGACTTCCTGTATCTTAGTATTGTGGCAGTGGATTGGTTTCACGCATCCTTGAAAATAGTTACTCCCCCATGCTCCCAAAATGAGAACCAACTTTTGCAAGTTGGCTAAGAAAAAGAAAGAAAGCTAGTTAAATCCCTTTGATTAATGCTCTACCACTATTGGCAAAAATAGTCTGATAATATTTTTAGGTAGACCTTTTCCCTTGGTTTGTTTGCTTAAGGTGAGCTAGTGTCTCTTTCATTACTTGCACCTCTAGGAGCCAGAGCCTGGTTGATGGTTCTATCCTGGTTGGAAAAAACAGATGTTAATGTGTTTGCATCTTCAGGTTCATATATGATATTATTTTTTAGTTCTCTTGAAATTAAAGTGAGCCTTACTTCATAAACTGATCTTTGCCAAGTGAAGTCGTCCTGTTGTAAAAATGGACAGAGCTCTGGGTGGGTGGGGGCATGGTGCCACACATATGAAAGAGGGCTGGACATGGTAATATGGTTTGGCTGTGTCCCCACCCAAATCTCATCCTGAATTGTAGCTCCCATAATCCCCATGTGTCATGGGAGGGACCCCATGGGAGGTAATTGAATCATGGGGCAGTTTTTCCCATGCTGTTCTTATGAT